TATCCGCCATCTTGGATCATCAATCTTGAATTTTGAAAAGTATTTATTTTCAGGATAAAGCCTAAAATACATTGTAAATAGACTAAAGACGTTCATATAAACCTTTTTTGTAAAAAGAAATGGGAGCATTGATGAAATCTTAAGGAAAATAAGCTGAATTTACGTGATCTAATGATATGGTCCGCCATGTTGGGTTTTGGCCAATGACGTCATGAAATTAGCATAAATTATGCATTTTTAATGACAAAATTTACATATAATTATATGTGATGTTATTAATATTAGAAACCATGTATAGCTTGACATAAAACCCATAAAATTCTGTTGTTTAAATGGAAATTAATAAATTTGGCAAAAAATGCCTGTCAGAAACCCGTTGCCATGGCAACAAGAAAAGTCATAATCTTATTCCACTGATACAGATTTGTTGCCAACAATATGAAAATTCACCAAGTTTGGCGGTTCTAGCTCTAGCCGCTCTAACCGCTAGGTGACATCAAAGTTGGCGCTGGCACTTTTAGCCCCCCCCCCCGGTCTAGATAGGCTTAAAGAGAGTCTCAAACGTGGGTAAATGTTTGATCTTAGTTTTTACTAATTTCAAAGATTATACCCTAAACTTAAACACACTCGTTTTTAGTTCTTCTTTATTCCGCAGGATTTTTTAGATTAATATCGGTGGTCTTAGAGTGCTAAACATGGGTGTTTTTGAACCCTCACAATGTCATGGGCCAGTCTTAAAGTCTAGTTCTAATATATATAGTTCCCTGACACTTTGAAGTTTAGTAACCACCGTTACCTATTGCTGGTATTGCCGGCGGCCTTGTTTCCGCCGGGTTCCCCGTGGTGCTGCTCAGTCTGGTCGGCGGCAGGGTCAGGTAGACAGACGTGGTCGTGATGACGGCGTGTGGGGGGACCTGCGTTGTGGCTGATGGGGGCACGATGAAGGCCACGCTCTGTTGTTTTGTCTTGGTGTCTGGGTCGGTTTTCCGGTACTGCTTGGGAGGATTCGGCTCGGTGGAATCTGCCGGAGGGCCCAACGAACGTGTCCGCGGCATCACTGGGGGTCGATAGAAGAAAGGGTCTGCGTGAATGGAACTGAGACAAATAATCGCAACGAAGGCGTCATTCAAGGCAAATGTTAGAAATTGTCATAACAAGAGTTCCGAGATCTCATACCTCCATGAAATATGGGCTTGATATGTAAATGTAATTTCTTCTTTAATTACGCAAATAACCTCTGCATTAACATAATATATGCATCGTGATGTTAACTTTTGATTAACTTAAAGATGTCCCAAGTATGACATTCCCATCATTCGCCATTGAGAAATCATAGATTTTTTGCATTAATTATGCAAATTAGGTCATCATTTGCATTATTTGTATCTGTTGATGTTCCATCTGCCATAGGTTACATACATTACATGTATGAAAGTTCTATAATGTAAAACACTGTAATTATAGAATTTCCTCATTAATTATGCAAATAAAGTCCTCATTTGCATAATTTGCGGTCAATTATGTACATCTCTCTGTCAGATACCTACACACCAAAAATGATGAAAATACGCTGTTCCTATCTGGACTTATTGGCTTTCAAAGATTTCGCCCGAAAGTCCCCTGCAGTTCCTGAACAAGCTGCTAGGGGGACCAAACCCACACCACTTATTCCTGACAGGAAAAGCTATCTGTCACCAAAAATTTAAGACCATAGCATGTTCAGGACCATAGATACAAAAACCGGAAGTTCTGCTGCAGTACCAAGGTCATCCACCAGGAGGCCCATATTTGACCTTGACCTTTGTCTTCATAAGACTTATCAGCATACCAAATATCATCACAATCCATAAAGGCGTTATGAAGTTATGCTAACTACAAAGTTGCGGAAACACACACAGACACACACACAGACACACAGACACACAGACAGACGCCGCCAAAAACAATACCTCCATTTTTCATGGAGGTAAAAAGGGGCATATAATACATTAGGCCCAGCGGCCACCAGAGAACTCTCACTCACTCACTCAGCTCCGCATGCCCCTCCTGGGGGCGTAGCGCCTCTGCATACGGCCCTCCAGGTCTTCCGGTCTCTGGCTGCCACCCAGGCGGAGGTGATGTCAAGTCCTGCAGCCTGTAGGTCGGCAGACAGCAGGTCCGTCCATGTACGCCTCGGTCTCCCTCTAGGGCGGGACCAGGTCGAAGGAGGCGGTTCTCTTACGAGGGAGCCTAGCTCAAGTGGTGGTTTCGCCCTGGCAATGTGGCCGAAGAGACGGAGACGTGCTGAACGGATCTTGCTGGACAGGGGGAGGGGGGGGGGCTGGTTGGTCTGCTCTCTCAGGGCGTCGGTGGAGACGTGGTCGAACCACCTAATCCCCAGGATTCTCCGCTGGCATTTGGAGTCAAAGGCGTCCAAGCGGCGCTCCTGGGCAGCGGTTAAAGTCCAGGTCTCGGCCCCGTACAAGAGGATGGACAGCACGAGACTGTTGTACAGCCTGAGTTTTGTGCGGTGGGAGATGTCACTGCTGGCCCAGACGGTGTTGAGGCTGGCCATCGCAGAGGCGGCTCGTCCAATGCGGAGCTGAATGTCGGAGTCACTCTTACAGTCTTTGGTTATGGTGCCTCCAAGGTAGCAAAACCTGTCCACAGCCTCAACAGGGTGGGAGTTGATCACTAACCCCAGCCGGGGGGGGGGGGGGTGAGGTAGTCACTGAGGGACTGGACTTTGGTTTTGTTCCAGCTGACCATCAGGCCCAGCGGTTGGGTCTCCACGTCCATGGCCTACAGGGCGAGCTGGAGTATGTCCATGGCCTCAGCAAGGATTGCCACGTCATCGGCGTAGTCCAGGTCGGTGATGGTCACATCGCCGTAGCTAGCACCGCACCCGCACTGTCCCACAACTCCTGCCATGACGTAGTCAATAGCCGTGTTGAAGATGGACGGCGCCAGTACACAACCCTGTCGGACACCGCTGATGATGT